GTTTGCCATCAAAGCTCCAGCTCTCCCCGTGTCTCCTTTGAGTCGGTGACTCCTCCTGCATTGCTACACAGAAGTTTCCCCCTCAGTTATGATTATTATTATTATTGAACTGAAANAATTTGAAGGAAAATTAAATAATTGACAATATCTCTTCAATCAATTTGAGAAAAACAATAACATCTATTGTGATCTACTAACATTGAGATTGTAAGTTATTAACTTACAATCTCAATGTTAGTAGATCACAATAGATGTTATTGTTTTTCTCAAATTGATTGAAGAGATATTGTCAATTATTTAATTTTCCTTCAAATTAAACACTTGAAATGAACATACTTTGATGAATAAAAAAATAAAAAAACTGCTTATAAAAGTATTTCTTGTGTCAGGCTTTAATCTTTAGTCAGGTGATCCTCACATATGTAATGTATAGTACCTAAGGTTGTTGTGGGGTAACTTCTGTGTAGCAATGCAGGAGGAATCACCGACTCAAAAGGAGACACAGGGAGAGCTGGAGCCTTGATGTCAAACACTGATGGTTTATTTAGGAGCTTCGGCCGGAGAATTCACAAAACAAGTCCAAGAGCCAGAGGTTCTGACTTCACGGTAGAGTTGCCACGTCAATTCTGAAGAACTCTACCCCAGACCCATGTATTCAGCTAGTTCAGAGAGAATAATCAACATGCTGAATAACAAGAAAGAATGATAACACCTCTATCAGCTGACGCCAACAGGCAGGAACAGGGAGACAGAACACTGAGAGCACAGCCGCCAAGGTTACAGGTGCGTGTGCTCAGTCAGGACAGTTTGAACTGATAAACTGGGTCACAGTTATGGGTCTTGGAAAATATTTCCCCAACATATACTGTATACTAGTATACTTAATACTTTAGAGGTCCCCTATTATACTGTTTTTCTGATATATACAAAACATGTCTCTGAAGTGCTTGGCTGAAACACCAAACAGATCATTGTAGCATTACCCATAATCCCCTCTGTTTCAGCCCTGTTTCTGATGTTACTTTAGATGAAAATAAGGAGCCCCTCCCCACGCCCCTCTGAGAGAGATTTGGTTAAAATAACTCAATGGTGTTCTAGGAGGAGA